AAGGAAACAGGCTTCTAGTTAAACAAATGAAAAATGCATACCACAGACCTCATTATTTGCAGATAATTCATTTTGCACTTTCAGCATCATTCTTATAGAATGTATGAAATAATTAACAGCAGCAGAAAAGTGCAAAATAGATTGGCAGATGATATTTTTTAAAGGGCTCACATACCTGCTTGTTTTGACAGCTGACCCTGTATCATTCAATTTTCTCTCTGCTGCAAATATTGCTGCCATTGTTTTATCTGAGACATGAAGCCTTTGATCAACAGACTTCACTTTCTCATTAACCACAGAAAAGCCTACTGTTAATTTCTCTGTGAGACCCACTCTCTTGTCAAAGGAAATAACCTTCTCTGATGCACTTGCTGTCAACCGATGTTTTTCATCAAATGCTTTAGCCTTGTTCACAGCATCTTGTCCAATAGCTGAACCTTTTGCAACAATACAGGTCACCACATCTTGTGCTCTATTAACATACACCCTTCCATTGGTAGGCGAGCTATTTCTATCCTGCTAACAGAGACATATTTACCCTGAGCTCATAAAATTGGAAACTTTGAAGGTAAACAACAATAAAGCAATGACTGGACATCTTGGGAAAATAAGCGCGTTAGTATCATAATATTCAAGATGGACCAAAAACTAGAAACAGTCACAATCCAGTAAATGGATGTACTAATAGGTATTCTATAATCTATAAGGCAGAAAGTTACGTAAGTTGGAAAAACGCATTCCATTTCAAATGATAAGTCATGTATTCTTTCGCTCATTCGGATGCTGGAATGCACCAAAGGAATAAAGAGAGTGACACACCAGAGGAGCCTTGTATATCAACACTAAATTTCCACAGTAGTAAAGATCTTATATAGTGATGTAAGGCTTATAATACCCCACGAGGGATTTTTAAATGCCAACTCACAATTTTTCCATTTCCAGAATACTCTAATATCCACTAAAATTTACTTAATTAGCTACATATGAAATTTCTTCAACTAGGTCAGATTCTTAACACCTTGAGATATGTGGTGGTGTCAATAGCTACCTCAGCATTTGGTGAAAGAATTTCACCAGGAGCAGCACAAACAGCACTTTCCACCATCCTTACTTCCTGCATGAATTGCACGAATGAACTAAAAAGTTTTGGTTGCAGGAAAGAAACAGATTGCAGAAACTTTTAAATGACGCTTACCAGCACCTCAGTTTTTGGTACATAATTTTCAACTGGAGATATAATCACGATCTGGTCTACTATTGTTGCTCCCTGCAACCAAACACACAGTTTTCATTACCTAGAGCCAAAGAGCAGAAATGCATGCTCATTGAAAAGGAATCCAAAACGCAAGTTCAAAACCCATAAATCATTTTAAATGAAGAAAATGCTTATTCAGCTGATGTCATGGAAAATAAGAAGATAAGGCACAAGTACATTGATAATGTGAGAACTTTAGATCAAACATCTATAAAGACATAGATTGAGTAAGATACTTTCCATACAATTATACCATTTGAACATAGAATATTGCATGCAATCAACATTCAACAACAAACATGGAAACTGCCTTTTGTTTAAATATAAAATTATATTAACATAATCACTTTTTATTGCTACTCCTCACATTTAATTAGTTCTCTATTCACCAAAAAATGGAAAATGGGGGACAAGAACTTGAATGAACAACTCTCTGCTTTTGATTTATTTATAGGAAAAAACTCAATGCTTATTTTGCTTTCTTTATATCTCCTACTGTCTATCACGTCATTGTATACAGAAAAAGAAGGGGGAGATAAAGAATTTTGGCCTATAAGGATTCCAAGATTCAAAGTAATCCTAAAAGATTAAACAATGTGTACAAGAGTGTAAGATACGCAGCAATTGAGAAACCACATTGCAAGACTGACCTTGACCCATTAGCTTAGTTTCAAGTTTCTGATACACCAATATCTTCCTTTTGGAATGAAATAAAATTTGATTATTTATTTTTGTATTACCGAATGACCAATTTTGTCCTCACGTACTTTTATTGCTTTCCAAAGCAACTCACATTGAGCATAAAACTAAAAGCACAAAAAGCCTAGCTTGAAGTTAAAGAAAAGTGTTCAATTAGAGGCTTGCTTCCAATAAGCTGCTTCTTTTCTCAAGTTTAATCAATGAAGGACACTTAAGAAAAAAGAACAAAGGAAAGAAAGGAACTTGCTTATAAAGAAAATATAATTATCAGGCACTGACTTCAATTGCAAGAAAGTAAAAAACAAATTTGAGAAAATACCGATAACAACAACGCGATTTCAAGAGCTTTGGGATCCTTGAAAGTAACAAATGCAGTCTTTGATTGTCCAGGCTCACTGCACACATCCAATTCAAAATGCAAGATTAACAATCGCAACAAACACTTACAACTGGTTTGGTTTGGTTGCTCAGTACATGCAAGAAAGATGGTAAAATTAAAAATAAAATTAAAACTTGGTTACATTGGCTTTAAGTCAAATTTATGAAAATAAACCTAAGTGAATTCTTTTTTCTTTTATTTTCCTAAAATTTTCTCCAAAAAAAAAAAACTGGAAGGTTAAAATATACTTTAAAATAGCTAGATTAAAGTATGCATGCGTTTAAGTAAATACATATTTTGCCTAAGTTGACTCTTCCCTTTTACTTTTTGACCTTTTTTTCATCTGAAAATTACCGGGGAAAATATTAAAGTGTTCTTCTCCTTGTTTTTTCCTTAAATTTTCTCGGCAGCGAAACAAATTGAAAAACCCAGTGTTTAGACAAAAATAATATTATAAAAAAAAAACTACAATTTTGAATTAAAGATAAATAAAAAAAAGAAAGAAAGCGTACCGTTGGATCTGAATGCGTTCGATTTCTCCAGAGAATGAGAAGAACTCGTGAATTTCTCTATCACTAGCTAGATCTGATAGTTGTTTTACTTGGACTGTCCTCGTCTGCCAAAAATAGAATAAAATTAAATTCAAAATTCAAAACTATAAAATACAAAAAATTAAGTACAGGTCGGGTTTATTTGAAGACCTGCAGCTGCTGCATTGTGATTGTGCTCCAAAAAGCTTTAATATGTTCTATGCGAAAGAGGGAAAGTCTTCAGAGGGATGTTGATGGTGGTGGTGATGATGAAGACAGTGGTTGGTGGTGGTGGTACAGCTGGGACTGACTGGGAGAAAAGTTTCCAAGTGCCAGCCACCAGAAGAGAGAGAGAGAGAGAGAGAGAGAGAGAATTTCAGCAGGATAGGAATGTATTGGTGATTCAACTTCACAATCAATATTCGACCAAAAAGTAAAACCTTCACAATCAATATTTATAAACAACATGCATTCCTATTGACTGCTTATAATTTAATATTGTTTTATTTATAATTATTTTAAATCTTTAATTAATGTTAATAATTTTTTATATTATTTTTTGGCAAAACGTCATTTTTGGTCCCTGTTGTTTACCACTTTTACCACTAAGGTCCATGTGGTTTCAATTTGATCATTTTTGCTCCTGTGATTTTCAATTTAAGCAATTCAAGTCCAATCTCCAATTTCTGTCAAATTAGATTAACTGTTGTTACTTGTTGAGGGGCATTTAAGTCCAAAAACAAGAAGGAGAGAACAAACAATCAAAAGATAAGGGAAACTCCAGAATCCAGCAGAAGATTGATCAATTTATAAAGTGTTATAGAATTTATGATTTCATAAACTAAAGAGTATGATTGGAGTTTAAATTTTATAAAAAGCTCTTAAAATAGCTTTTATATATGTTTTTAGTTAAATTTTAATTAAAAAAATAGAGAACATGATTATGGATGCTTTTATGTAGCACATAACATGTCAACTCATGTCATCTGCCACACCATCTTTTTTATTTGTCAAGTTTTAATTTCATTATTTAATTGAAAAGAATAAAACTTAAACCAGGAGGCAAGGGCAGGGTAATACAGTAAAAGAACAAAAGCACGTTATGATTCTTTTCTTGGTCAATGCGAGATGCATTTCAATGGCTAAAGCGAAACATGCGTGATGCGTAAATTTGTAGTGGAGTCCGCGCGCCGAACGGGACCTGAGTTGGACCAGAATTTTCAATTGTTTCATCTCTCTACACTCTCACATTTACTTTCTATAAAATATAATAGTAAATATAAAAAATAAAAAATAATAATATAATAATAATTTGTAGACTTGCATTGTCTAGTCCCTTAAAGTGACCAACTTTTAAAGCTAAATATACAATTATAGATATTTATAAAAATACTCAATCCTAGACATGTATTTATAAAAATACCCAAGCACTATTTAAACATAGAAACATACCCAAAATGGGTTTTGGGTATGTGTGTAATGATGGGTTTTGGGTATGTTTATAAATGAGTTTTGAGTGTGTGTAATGATGAGTTTTGGGTATGTTTATAAAGTGTTTTGGGTGCTGGGTATTTTTATAATTTCAGCCCTCATTTTGGGTATTTTAGTGAAACTCCCATATAATTATTTGTAAATAATTTGTTGGAGGTATGCCATTTACTCAAAACTAAGGTCTTTTAACTATTTACATCTTACAACATGTGAATATAGTGGAGAGTTTAAAAATATGGACTCGACCGAGTGCGGATTTGTACTTGTAGCCCATTTCAATAGGAAAGATTCTATAAAAAAAGAAAGAAAAGAAAGAGTAGTTACTCGTACGTATTGAAGTTCGCTGATCGAATCCCTCTACTCTATCACAATATTTCTTGGGTCAAAAAATAAGACCTTCTGAACAAGCTCTTTCTCTTGCAAATCAAATCAGATGCTCGTTTTCAACTTTTCATAAATAAATAAAGAAAAGAAAACGTCAGATGCCGTTTCTTATTATCACCTGTGCCTTGTGCAAGCCTTGGAGATATAACGGCCATTTATACATTTTAAAAGCCTCAGTCAGCTCAGCACCCATATTTTTTAAAGAGAATTCCATGACATTCTCTATGTTCAGTTTATAAAAAGTATTTTTGTGCAAGCATTGTTTCAAATACAGTAACAATATTTAGCCGTATAGCAGTTTAAATCACGACTTTTTAAATTTTATTATTAAAAAGAAAATACCAAGTCATGTTTCAGGTCTCGGGATGAGGCATTGAAACGAGGTATCAACCCGTTATTAGCTGACCATACGCCGAAATGATCACTGTAATTTACTCATAGGCTTCAAAACCAAAACAAAAAAACCAGAGGGACATTCAATGAAATATATTCGCCATATCATTTTGTGCAGGTAGGTCCTCTGAGATGCTTGAAACTGCTTCCTTCTCATCTTCGGTTTCTTGGAACTGTACATTCCAACTCCCCTACAAAATTCAACTAAAGCATAAAAAAACTTTCAGAACATCATCAAATAACTGTCAAACCATGAAAATCGACCATCAACAAGGAAAATAATTTCTTCCTTCGTTTCGAGGGCGGGTGTGATGAGATAGAATTCAAACGAACAAATGTCAAAAGGACTTCAACTTGTTCATTAAAGCAATCACTGGTCTAGTTTAGCATGACTAATCTAGTTGGGACAAGTTTAAGTGCTATATAGACTAGCAATCAAAGAAGAAATAACACTAATATTCAAAAATCATAAAACAAAACAAAATATAATAAGGAAAATTTGTTGCTACCAAACACTTAGGCAAGCCTTTTTCACTTATGTTTGAAATTTTTGAGACCATTGCCGTTTGGAAGTTGGAGGATTGCGTTTTTATTTTCCTAAAATTAATATTGGTTGGTGCTGTGAATTTCTTTTGGTATGATCATCATAGATTTTCTGTAATTTTCTTCATGTTCTTCCTCATTAGTTGTTGTTACTGCTCTCTTTTTAGTTGTTTCCATGTTCTCTGGGAAATCAGTCAAGCATACAACGCAAAATAAATGTTGAATGAAAAATTATTCTCTTCAGACTTTGAAGAGGATGAATGCTTTCTAGAAGCCAGTGGATCTGGCACTAAAACCATTTAATCACGCATGTGTTAGGGAAGCAGAGTAGTCATGCCAGAGAGGCAAAAAAAAGAAGAAGCAAGAATTGGTTGATTTCTTCAGACAACAGAAACAACTAAAAGGAAACCACTAACACCAAACAAATGAGAAAGAATATAAAGAAAACTTCAACAACTATATCATTATGATATCAGAAGAAATTCACAATAACATAACAAAAAGGATTTTCAACGGTTCAATGTAGGAAAAAAATAGAGACAAGAAAAAGTTTTTACCTGCTAAAATCCAAGGGAGAACTACCAGATGTACTTTTCAGAATCCAAGGGTTAACTGACTTAGTCTACTTGAATGTAGAACATGATAGACTAATTTACAACTCATATGCCATTTGAGTTCCATAGAATCTTAAAGTTAAGTTTTTCATTTGATATTTCAGCAGAATAATAGCAAGTAAACAAACAAGAACAATTAAAAAAGTACAAGAAAACGTTGAAATAAAATAATTTGAACAAAACAAACTGACCCAATAGCTTAATAGACATGTTAGGCAAGAACACATTTTATCAGCTAAAATCCAAGGGACACTTACCCGATGTACCTTTCAGATGAATAAAATATGGAATGAAATAAATTGAAGAAAACACCTTGATCCAACCTATAGATCAAAAGACATGCTAGGCCAGGATTTGAGAAAAAAACCAACCAGGATTTGAGACCACAGACTCAGCAGCAGTCATAATCTTTACTTTGCTTTCAGCTTTTTTTAGCACACATTCATGCACAATTAGGAAATCAAAGTGTAGCAAAGCCTTTCGTTTTAAATAAGATGAGATAATAAGAAAACACAATCGACATAGCATCAACTTTATTTGTTTATTTATTTTTTTGTGTTTTGAAATGGCTTCAAGCATAAGGGCTCAGCTTAACCATCTACAACAAACTCAGTTGTAAACTTACAAAACTAACAACCTAAATTGATCCTGCATTACCCCACTCCTAGTCGCACTTTTGTTGGATGCACATCCTTATGTGAAGTCTCATGTGATAATTCTTCAGTTCACGGCACGCTCTTGAGAAAGAGAAGTTTTATCTCATACTATTTCTTCCTGTTATTGGTGGATTACTTGTCCACCTTCTTGTATGGTTTTTTATGAAATAAAACTTCTCTTTTTCAAAAACAAATAAATAAAAAGAAAGAGATATTTGCTTGCAAACAGTAGTAAATGTAATTCATCCACAGAGGGAGGATCAGTGCGCACCTCAACCAAAGGGGCTATCAGAAGCATTGGCAAACCGTTTCTTCATGATCATCCAGAGTGCGTGAGAGGAAGAAGCCCCAACTGTATATGGCAATAAATCTTCAGAGATTCTTGAATTAAGCCAAACCATTACACTTTGGTCCCGATCCATCCATTTTTCAAAGGCTGGATTCACTTGATTGGTGATTTTACCATTGCTATCAAACAAAAAAGCAGGTGGACAGATCTCTGTCCCTTCAACCAAACCTTCTACTCTATATTTCCTGAGAACTTGACGAAATAGCCATTTCCATATGGTGAAATTAGGGCCAGTGAGTTTCATTGGAACCATAGTGCTGATGTTCTGAACAGTCATCTCTTGGACAGTGATCAGATGTGAAACAGGAATTGCTATTATTGGTGTTTCTTGATCTGCCAATTTAAGAAATAGAAGAAGAAAGGGTTTACACAGACTCTTTAGTATGCAAGAAAATACAAGAAAGGATGAGAAGGCTCAAGAACGGGAGCTGTGTGGCTCTAGCTCCAACACCTTTGAATTATAGGAAGTATGGTAAAAATTGATTTCCATTAACTTTAACAAAGAGTACATCAATGATATATTGTACTTAGCATGAGAGCCACCGCAACATATGTTCTTAACCATCATACCAAACTTAGTTGTAAAATTAACAAGTGCCATGTCATTAATCCTACACTACCCTTCTCCTAGTCGTAAGTCGTTGATTTGTAAGATGCATATGATCAGACGAAGTCTCATGTGATCCTTCTTCAGTATTTAGAAAACAATTCCAAAGAACACACTGGTCCTCTTGCCCAAAAGAATCACCAAGTGTGACAGAATAAAAGGATAAAAGGAACAATTGTTTTTGCAAAGGAGAAGAACTGGTTGGCAACCATGATTAGGTTCCAAAGGCATCTGAGCATTGAGTAATCAACAACAGTTTCAGCCAGCAATGGATTTAAAGAAATCAGAGAAAGGTTGTATAGGAACTATTATCTACTGTTTCTACTCCCTGATATATTCCATCACCATAATGTGCTTAAATGTAATTGGTGCTCAAAAGTGTTTTATGCTCTCATAACATGAAAATATATGTCGAGGACAATTTTAAATGCATTTCATAGAAAATACTAGGAACCAACATCTCAGTTTTTGTGTTTACGATTGGGTTCAATTTCAGTGGATTTGCATATTAAAATAAACAGATAATTTTCAAATGCATCAAGTACGTACTTACCGCAAATGATGGAGACGAAAGGTAGCAGACTCTCAACATATTGAATCAGGTCATTTCCAGAGTCAAGCCCCTGAAGCATATATCGCTCACGTGTAACCACATCCTTTTTAAACTTGTCTTCGTTTTTATCAAGCCATTTCAACTCCACATTCTTGGAACTACGATCCCGCATCACAACTGTACCACTTTCCCTAACAAAGACAGGTACATCATTGGCAACCTTAAATAGCACAGTCCATGATTCATACACATCATATTCTCTCATGACCCAGATTACAACATATTCAAAATCAGGTCCATTAGCCCATGCACACAGGCACCCTTCTAAAAGAGCCCCCACTCGTCTGAAACCCAACTCATTTTCTTCACAAATTGGCAACATTACATTTCGGAACTCCTCCGTTGCCAAATCAAAAGCAATTGCAACTTGTGGCCTACATGATGTGTGCAGCCAATGGAGTGCCTCATTTGAAAGAGCCCCCTCACTATGCCCATGGGGTGAAAAGGGAGCTTGAATCTTTTTCCAGGAGTTGGCTCTCAATGAGAAGACCACAACAGGGTATCTGTTAGCTCTGTCAGTTTCATACGTCAACTCCGCGCCCACAATAACTTTGTAGTCATCAATGGCGGATACATAACCAAACCCATATTTGTAAAGCTTCTTAATTTCTTCTGACCCGAAATCTGGGTCAGGTAGTTTCTGCAAGAATCTAGTGGATGGGTTCCAGATATAAAAGCATTCATGAAAATCAAGAGCTACACACACCAAACCATTGCAGGAGCCCACTACCTTGACGGCGAGGCCCGGTCGCTTGAATGGGAAGCTGAGATTTCTGACCAAAGAATTTCCACCAATTGCAAACGACGGCGTTTCCAAGTGTACGGTTCGGAGATCAGAGGCAGTGGAGATGAGGAGGCTGGGACTCAGTGTTTGTTGCTCAGAAGCTACTTTGAAGTGGGATTTGGCGAATTGCGGGTCGTACAACAGAAAACGCCAGCGATTTGAGACGCAGATGAATCGGATCAAGGTTTTGACTGGCAACCTGGAGAGAATTTTGACTAAAATATCATCAGGTACGTGGGTCTTCTGCAATTTCTTGATCGCCATTGGCAATGCCCATGAATTTTAGCTGTTGTCGCTGGAACCCTGAATTTGGAGAAGCTGACAAGTCCTACAGTTCCTCCTCCCAATCCCAACCAACCACTCAAGAGACTAGTGTTAATTAAGCATGAAATTAATGAAAAATAATTTGTAATGGGGTGGACTCGGCTTGGTTTAACTGGACCGAATGGCGGGAACCGCGCATCCATTTCCTGTATGCACGCCCTTTTTTGTGTCTTAAGACTTTCTTCTTTTTTTTGAATTTTTAAAATTTTCTTTTTATTATTTTCTTTTTTCTTTTCCGTTTGGTTCGTGGATTGGACTTCTTGAGAATAAACTTCCCATGTCTAATTTCATGAATTGAGAATGGAGGATGTTTATTCTCATGTTTGGAAACAATGGGAATTGAGGACTAAGAAATGTCATTTTCTCTCATTCCCATGTGTTGGTTCGTGCAGTATTAAGAATGAAAAGACCCTTTTAAAAAAAAGAGGAATGAAAAGATGTTCAGTTTTTCAAAAATACCCTTGATATTTTATTATTAAAAATTATTTGAGTGCCGGGTTGTTAAGTATGGGCGTTTGGGACGAAGTGGGAAAATGGAGAGTAAAGTGAGGAAATTTGAGTGCTGGGTCGTTAAGTAAGAGCAAGTTAAAGTTCAAAAAGGTGAAACCGTAAATAGGCCTAATTTTTTTGTTCTTTTAGTTTCTTCGGTTCCAAATATTTGTATTTGATTTGTTTTGTAAATTAAATAAAATTAGAATGCCAACAAAACTGAAATTTGAAGAAAAAGGTTGGGTCTATAGACCATTTATTGGGCCCAAGCATATTTTTTTTCTATGAAGAAAAGTGAAACTTAGGCTAGATTTCGAAAAGAGTAAAAGTATAAATTTTAAAATTCAAACCGAGACAAGCCACCCTCAAAGCCTTTTGAGCGCACTTTGATCCTCAAAACTCAGACTCAAAGAAGAGCTACACTCTCAAGTGCCTGCTTGTGTTGTGCTAAAATATCGATAAAACAACTAAATATTTAGGATATTATCGTTTTTTCGAGTCTAGAATATTTTGAAACATATCCATACACATATTTTATAAGTATTGATAATATCGGAAAATATCGACGTTAATAATTTCTCTCATACTTCAACAACATTTGGCAAAATATCGCTATAATATCGCAATAATATCAATAATATTGAGATGATGAAGAAAATGAAAATTTTGAAGAGTTATTTATACTAACACCCCTTGAGGTTTCTTGTGTTTTCACAAAACCCCTTCAAATTTCAAAAATTACACAAACACCCCATGAAGTTTCAGTTTGTTTTCACATTTTCGTTTATTGTTTGTCCAAAAATTGATAATTTCATTGGGAAAAAACTTATGCAAATGACAAAATTAACCTCAATGAAGTATATGCAATCTAATCTCAAAGGCCAACTTTGTCATTTGGAGAATTTTTTTTGTATAAAATCATTAATCTTTGGATGAAAAATCAATGAAAATCAATTATATGTGAAAACAATTCAAAACCTCAAGGGGTGATCTTGTAATTTCTAAAATCTCAAGGAGTTTTGTGAAAAAGTCGAAAACCTTAGGAGGTGTTAGTGTGTATAACTCAGATTTGAACCTTATATGAACTCTATGTGATATTAAGTCACTCATGTATCTTAACATGCAAGTATAAAGTGTAAAATATTGTAGTAAATCATTATAAATAAATAATTGTGGTGTGATTAATATTCTTTCATTAATTACTACATATTTTCTACTCGTAGTGTTTGTTAGCTCGCTATATAATCAACTTAAATCAATTAAACCCACCATGCAATGCATTTATTTTCAATTTTTTGTGATAAAGTAATAGATAATTGACTAAATAAATATCCTCAAAAGTTTCAAGAAAATATTCCAAGTTTTTCTTATAATTTTCGTAGTTTATAGTCAATTTTTATTGATATCGATAATATCCCGATATTTCTATCGAAATTTCCGTATTTTTAGACTATTGATATTTTAAACCTTTGTTGTGACATATCAATGCCTTCTTTCTTCAGCATTGTGAAGGAACTCGTATTTAAATAAAAAGGGGTTGTTCTTATGGCCTTGGTCACGACACCATATTAGGGATGATTTTATCACTTGATCAAATTTGGTTGGGATAGAATAGTAACACAATCCAGTGGATGGACCAGGACTGGTGTTTTGATATAATGTAACAGTGGTAGTTGAGCAGAGGCCATGCGATTGGGCAACACATCAATAGGTGTGGAGGTATCAGTAACACATAAATTAAGAAAGTCTATCTCTGGCATATAAATTAAGAAATTAGTTGAAAATAGCGATGACATGTATACTGATCCCCAGAATTATGCCTTGGAAAACTTGTCATATAGCCGGTTGTGAGTAGAGTGGTTCATATTTGGTGTACTCTTGTTGGGCACAATCCAAAAAACTCTACGCAAAAGCATGGTAAATGTTTGAAGAAATGCATTAATTTAACACGGACAAAAGGCAAAATTAATACCTTAAGAAATAAATAAATGATGCCTGGACTACAAAGAATTTGAATTGTTAAAATGGTATTTCTACATTGGGTATCTAGAGATTGCTTACGATATGGCTCGAACCCAGATGTTTTTGGGAAGGATTGGGAGAAAAGGACCGCTTGACTACTACAGTACAACCTCAATGACCTTTAAGCAATTATCTACAAGAGGGATTCGAACCCTCGGTAAACAAAAGTCTACATAGCAGTTTCAATGCTAATAGGTCAAACTCATTGTAACGCATGTTTTAACTTTTCTATTATCATAATGAGAACAACTACCAATATGAAAAAAGAAAAAAGAAATGATGATGTATGAGACTCCAACAATCACAAAAGAAAAAAAATAAAAATAAAACTCAAACAAAAGAATAATAAAAAGGAAGATGAGGTTGGAATGGGGTTTGGAAAAGTTGCCAAAAAGGAGGTCAATTCATACTCATTGTCTAATAGGAAATCCACCAACCTTCGGCTACAAAACAAAATTCACATGGTTCATGGACAGCAACAGTCCGAACTATAACACATCATCATCAACTGAAGCTTCACTTTCCACTAGACTTACACATTGTCCACCACTATCTCACCAGCCCTTAACTGGCATGCCTAAAAAGTGAAAATCCCTTCCTTGGCCTCCAAGTCATCTGCTTTCATATAAGTCCATGTAATATTGTTGCTCTACCTAAATGCTCCTCCTATGGGCACCAAAATGCTAAACATGTCAGCCCTCAATCTTGAAAGTGAATGCAAAGAGATTCATGATTCTTGGGGACAGCTAAACCAATTGGGTCTGGCTTTGGCTAGCCGAACCCGGCTTGAAAGGCAACAGATTAGAGAAACTTACAAGGCAATTTATGGAGAGGACTTGGCAAACAGACTCCAAAAGGCAGATCAAATGGCTGACAACAGAAAACAGGCAGCTGCTGGTGTTGGGGTTTCACCAAAATTATGTGCAGCCTTGTCCATGTGGATGATAGAGCAGCACGAACGCGATGCAATCATGATCCAGGAGGCCCTTGATGATCAGCAAGGTGACACAAACTATAGCGCTCTTGTAGAGATTTTTGTTGGTCGAAAATCAAGTCAAATCCTTCTCATCAAACAAGCATATCAGAGAAGATTTAGGAGGCAGTTGGACCAAGATATCATCCATATTGAGCCTCCCCATCCTTACCAAAAGGTGATTTAATTAATTAAGCTTGTTATATAGTAATGAAGCCAAAAACATAAACACACAATTATGTAACAGATACTGGTGGCATTGGTTGCATCCCACAAGGCACACCAAGCAGATATTAGCCAACATATCGCCCAGTCGGATGCACGGAGGCTCTACGAAACAGGGGAGGGGAGTTCAGGGCCCATAGAAGCTGTTGTACTAGAAATACTAAGCAAACGGAGCATTCCACAGCTTAAACTTACATTTTCTTGCTATAAACACATCTATGGACATGAGTATACAGAGGTAAATAACTAGCATTGTTACTTTTCTGGAATTTCCACATTTGGCCTACTTTTCTGGAATTTCCATTATCAAATTAAACTAAATAAATTTGAAACCATGGCTAATTACTTGGTATGCTGCAGTACCTGAAGACCAGAAACTCTGGAGAATTTGAAAACGCAATGAAAACAGTCGTCCAATGCATCTACAGACCAGCTACCTATTTTGCTACGGTAATCATCGTTTTCTCTTCTATTTCCTTTTGAGCTAATGGTCTCAGTTTGGTACGAAACAAGGAAGAAGTGGAAATTAAAAAGAAAAAAGGCCTCAGACTCACAGTTTGGAACATGGTGATACTAATACTTGAGCAGATATTGTATGCAAGCATCAAGGGGTCCATGACCGATAAAGGCGCATTGGCACGTGTGATGGTGAACAGAGCTGAAGTAGACATGGATGAAATTCGAAGGGAGTTTAAGAGGCAGCATGGGATTGAACTCAGAGATGCATTATGTGACAGTGACAAAATCCCATTTGGGGATTACAGAGACTTTCTTGTTGCCTTGACGGCCTCCAAATGAACTGCCACCACAGGCTAAACCTATTATATATATATTCTATATAATCATCGCTTGATGATGTTTTCAACAACTTGAATTTGTTATTGATCGAATATACCCATTTCTCTTTTTATTTGTCATATTAACTAATGTACATTTTATACTTTAACTAGCTTGCACAAAACACTCCGTCCCTAATTCCTATTATTACTCTTCTGAAATTTACGAAATTGATATTGTCATATAATATAAGAAGTGCATATACAGTACTGTTGTTGTCTGCTAGATTAGTACCTTGGCTGATGTGTTCATGAAGTATTAGCATATCTTGAGGACAAAGAAATTATTCCCTCTGTATGCACCAAGAAGAAAACTCCGGCAGAAGTAAACAAAAAAGGGATTTATTCTCTTTCAAAAGGAAAACCCAGAGGAAACCTTTTCGCCTAGCTTCTAAATGCCCCTTTCATCATGTATAAGATAAGCAAAGAGAGGCCCTCATTTGGCCAAGAAACTTGATAACATTTCCTTTACTTGAAACCTTCAAAAGAAAACAAAGAAGCATAAAATCTCCAATGGAAACCAAGCTTGTAGCAAACAATGAGCAGTGTTACGAGGACTTCGAACCGTTTTGCCGGTGGAAGAAAGAGGAAGGACTTGACATTCTTGAGGTTCATCTACCAGGTACTGCTAGATCGTGTTGATTCTTTTCTGAATACGTAAGCATTTGACTAACAACATAAGTGCGACAACAGAACATTATGTTCAGCGGGTTACATTCCATGTCATGTTTCTCTTTTATTTTGTTTTACTTGTTGATGCATGTAGGTTTCAAAAGACAAGATGTCAGAGTTCAAATCAACAACAAGGGCATCCTAACCATTAGTGGAAAGCAATCTATGGAAGAAGAAACTGCATCTCCACCCAGCCGCTTCCTCAAAGAGATCAAAATTTCTACAAATTGTGATACGAGTGGAATCCGTGCTAAGTTTTCGCATGGAATTCTTTCCATTTCTATGCCTAAGAAAGTGCCAAACCTTTCAACACAATTATCAGGCAGCGGAGACAAGATTAAGGCCGCTGAAACTGCTACATGGTCGTCAATTAATTACTATTTACGTGGTTTAAGAAGCAAAGTTTTAAGCAAGGAGATGGTTCTGAAGATGGCGGGGGTCGCTCTGGCAATGGCTCTTGGAGGTTATGCAATATATAGATATCCAAAGTCAGCTTGTGTCCAAAACTGAATTAACATACGCTGTACATCATTTTCAGATCAAATTTCACTTCTTTGATTATTTTTCAAGTTGGCTGTTTTTATTTATTTATAATTTATAAGTTTATTAGTTTGGTTTTTAGTGCTGCTGTTGCCAATTCTATCTTTAAACCATTGCAATTATGGTCACAAAGCAGAATTTCCATCAAACGAAGTTTCCAGAATGCCAGTGGCACATACTGTTGCAAAGATATTGTTATTGTTGTCATGATACTTGAATTTAACCCTCATTGATTTCTTTTTGTCAATTTAACACTTGAATTCTTTACAAATAGCCAATTTCACCCTTGCCATCAAGTCTTTGCATTCAATTTTCTGTGATCCACACGTGCTTGGCACGTGAGAAATATTTTTTAAAATCCAAATTAACTAATTATATTTAGTATCACGTCCTTGCCCCTCCTCTATATTTCTTTCTTGAGATTGGTTTGAATACTTTAGGTTAGTTGTATTATTTTCTATAAGGAGGTATATATAGGAGTTTACAAGGGTGCTTTATAAGGAAATAGATATGGTAATTAATTAGAAGAATATCTCATAATTATACAAGGATGTGTAAGTTATATAAAATAATGAAGTAAATCACCTAATTAATTAGGTTAACTCACGTCAACACTCCTCCTCAAGTTGTTGTATACACGTCACCAAGGATGGATCCAGGAATTTTAGTAGGGGTGGGCTAATTTTTTTCTTTTTCTTAAAGCAACTGGCATCTCTACCGCGAATGCAAGAGACTTTTTTCCCATCACGCGCATGCGGGAGAGTTTCCCCATCACACACATTGCGCAACTTATAATGTTTCAAAAACAATTTCCTATCGCAGGCGTAGTGCGACTCAAAAGTTAACAAACAAACCCTAAATCATAAAAACTTAACAATAACAATTAAAATTGAAAATTAAATAAAAATAAAGAGAGTAACTTACTAAGACTGAAGAACCCACCGAAGATATATTGACACAATTTTGGAGAGGAAGAGAAGTACTTCTTCTTTGGTTCTCTTTTTAGGCATTTAGGCAATTTTTGTTTCGTTTGGTTGGAGGCTTGTTTTTTGTTTGGTCAGATGGTTGGAGGCTTTTGTTCTATTATATTCGTTGGTTATTTTTGGGCTTAGTGGATTCCTTATCCACTCCTTGTGTGTGGGGTTAAAGATGGCTAAGTGGGCAGTCTTCTTTTTATATTAGAGTGATCGGCTGACTTATGCATAGAGGGGTAGGCAAGTTTCTAAAATTCCTAAGTTAGCCTGCACCTTTAAACCTATTTACTAAATTAGGACTGGGCTGGAGCCCACTCCAGCCCAACTGTAGATCCTTCCTTGCACGTCACTAATGCCAAACTTGGTAATTGAGTTATAAAACACTTATCTACAGACAGCTTTTGTTAAGACATCCGCTAAATCATCTTCTGATTTTACAAAGGATAAACAGATGATCTTGTTCTCAATTTTTTCTTTGATGAAATGTCTATCCACCTTAACATGTTTAGTTCGAGCAACCATTTTTACTCCACCAAGTGACTAGGTTACCTTCAACGAATGTAAAGTAACCCGATGTAGAGTGTCTATCTGTAATAGAACTAGCCCAATCAACACCTGTATATCCAACAACTTCAAGATTTCCATTCTTTGAGAACATTAATCCCTTTCCAGGGGCTGACTTTAAGTATCTTAAGATATGATCAACTATATTCCTATGAGAAACATTGGGTGAATGCTTAAACTGACTAACCATACTCACAACATATGCAATATCTGGTCTTGTATGTGCCAAATATATCAACCTTCCAATGAGGCGTTGGTATTGTTCATTATTGGTTGACAACCAGTTCATATCTTCACACAACTTGTGATTCATCTCAATGGGTGTGTGAGTAGGCTTACATCCAAGAATTCTTGTTTCAATGAGTAGATTCATCACGTATATGACTTTCTGAGCTTGCAAACTTGATTTTTCGTGTCAGGAGCTAAATTACATCATGGTGGTAAACCCATGTATACATCTTCTTCCAAGTCTCCATGTAAGAAGGAATTTTTAATATTGAACTGATGTAGTGGCCAATCTACATTTGCGGCTAGAGACAGTAGGACTCGGATAGTGTTGATCTTGGCTACTGGGGCAAAGGTCTTTTGGTAGTCCACCTCATATCTCTGTGTGTACCCTTTCGCCACCAATCTAACTTTATATCTTTTAATGGATCCATCTGCTTTGAGTTTCACTGTATAGATCCACCTGCATCCCACCATCTTCTTTTCATGAGGTAAAGGCACAGGCTCCCATGTGGCATTCTTCTGAAGAGCTCATATTTCTTCATTCCTGGCTTATTTCCATTTTGAGTCTTCTAATGCTTCAGTCACATTATTGGGGACAGATATATCGGCCAACTGCTTCACAAAGTGTACATGTGACTATGATAATCTGTTTAGAGATATATAATTATTGATTGGGTATTTTCCTTTGGCTTTAAGATCTGCTTCGTACTGTACTCGAGGTTTACCACGGTTCTTCCTTTATGAAAGTTGGTATATAGGGGTATATATATCTTTTATGCTTTCTAAAATCAAATCATCATGGTATATTTCATTAGTGTTATCAGTTTCAGGGGGAGATTTTATTTGAATGACTTCCTCAAAATGTGATTGATGTGGTACTAGAGATGAAGGTGGGTCTGAAGCAGGCAAAATCTCAGAAAATAGTTCAACGTCCTCCTAATTTTGGCAGCGTGGAGTCGACCGATCATTTTGACATAGTGACTCTGCCTGTGAAGGAATAAAGAGGGGCAACTGGTCGTGTGGGAAAGGCGATTTAAGCAGGCCCCCAAACATCAGAATGAATAAGGGAGAAGGGAACCAAACTTTTATTTGCACTTAATGGGAACTCAATACGATGGCTTTTAACCAATTTACACATATCACATTGGAAACTGGAAACATCAAAACAAGAAAATAATGATAGAAACAACTTCTTCAGATAACCAAACGAGGCATGCCCAAGACGTTTATATCATAACCAAACTTTGTCTCTCTGCCTCTCAGAACTAGCTCCACTTGTTATGAAAGCTTGACCAACCTTGGTCTCACTATCTGGTTCCCAGTCCAAGTAGTAGAGTTTGCCTCGCGTAGTACAACAACCAATCATCTTCCCCGTGACGATGTCCTGAAAAACACAATGATTCAGCCAAAATATTACAGTACACCCCAAAGTAGTAGTAAGTTGCGCAACAGACAACAAGTTATGGTTCAAGGATGGAACAATCAATATAGAATCCAGATGTATGGAGTTAGAGAGAGATAAAGAGCCCTCCCCAACCATAGGGGAGGGTGTACCATTAACATTAGACACCACCGTCTGAGTGGTTGGTTTGTGACTAATAAATTGGCCAGGATCAAATGTCATGTGATCCGTAGCACCCAAGTCAATAATCCATGTGGGCTTTGGAGAGGACGTATGAAAAGCAGAATCTTTGGTGGTGGCGATAGAAGCACAAGCCCGGGTAGCCAATTTAGCAGGATTGACAGCATGCTTCTATAAGTCTACAAGGAGGGAGAGAATCATGGGGGTCCTAACATCGCAGCGGAAGTAAGATTGCTATAAGTGTGTGTTTGTGATTAAGGAGTTGATTTGAGAATTTTAGGAATTTGATGTATAAATTTGATTTTAGAGGTATTTGTTTAAGGAGTTTGATAAGATGATTTGATTTGAGAGGTAAGGAGTTTGATTTGGAATTTGAGGGTATGATTTGACAGCATAGAGACAACCTAGGATCCATTACTCTAATACCATGCTAAAATATGAATATGGTTTGAATACTTTAGGTTAGTAGTATTCTTCTTCATAAGGAGGTATATATAGGAGTTTACAAGAGTGCTTACAAGGAAATAGATACAGTAATTAATTAGTAGAATATCTCCTAATTATATAAGGATGTGTAAACTATATAAAACAATAAAGTAAATCACCTAAGTGGAAATAAATCTCCTTGATTTAGTAGGTTAACTCACGTCAACAGTGAGGGGAATGCTCTCAACAACGGACATGGGTAGTTTTTTCGGTTGAAGGAAATGAATATTTCATTCCAAGAAAAAGTAATACAACAATCAGCAAAATGAACAGGGGCTCAACTACAGTATAGTAAAAGCCAAATCCAAACACCAAAGTCTCAGGCTCAAAAACAACAAAAATTTCCCAAATTATAGAAACCCTAGAGACAATATCCAACCCTACCCAGAGCAAGTCGTTGTCGCCATCATTGCCACCACAAAGAGAACAAAGTACAAAGGAGCTGTGCAAAGGATCTATAAAGCATGGAGGTATCAAGCCACCAATGCATCATACTCAAGCGATCCATCAAGTGGTCAATTGACTATGGCACTACAGAGCCCACTATTAATGCATATCTTAGTCTCAAATCTGAGGATGGGTTGTAGGTGGGAAGCATTAGCAAGAGCAAACAAGACACAATCAAGTCAAACATAGGGAAATAGCCTTATTATGTTACTTTTCTTATTTTAAGTTTTTATGTGCTTGTAAAACGTTTTTGACGGAATATCGACTTTCTGAACAAATTTTAGCACAACGCCAACTGGAGAAGAAAGCTAAGACATTGAAGATCATTGTGTCAAGTTTTCATAATTTTTCATGAAGCCAATTGTTCCAGAATTTGAAGTCAACACATCCCAAGTTGAATTCTCGTAAAAAATGTGTTGTTGTGGGAGATTGAAGGCTTGGAGACTTTTGTAAATTTTCTTAGTGACGTGTGATATATGTCTCAAAAGTTAAGAGATAGAGCTACAATTCCAAAAAAATTCCAAAATCATCCATTCAAGAGAGGACGTGGAGCTTAGGCATGCGCATCACCATTGTTTTCCGGGTTCTATCTTTTGTCATGACTTTTCTTATGATTTTTATTATGATTATGTGTAACTAAATATTTTTTCTAGAGCATCACTAGTAAAAAAAAACCCCTTGCGCGACCAAATTAAATAAAATCTTCGTCTCGCAAAGTCTTTACAAAAATAAATAAAATCAAAAATTATTTTTAAAAATTTTTGGATGACTTTGCGCGACGAAATAATAATCTTCGTCTCGCAAAGTCTTTACAAAAATAAA